TTAGAATATGTATCTTCTCAGTTTCAGCAGTTTATGTCTTCTCATGGAATTATTCATCAGACAATTTGTCCTTATACCCCTCAGCAAAATGGGGTTGCAGAAAGAAAGAATAGGTACCTTATTGAGACTGCTCTCACACTTCTAATTGAGTCTCGTGTTCCGCTGCGTTTTTGGGGTGATGCAGTTCTCACGGCTTGTTATTTGATTAATAGGATGCCTTCATCTCCCATCAAGGGCCAGATTCCACATTCAATATTGTTTCCCCAGTCAGCCTTATACCCTCTTCCAACATGGCGACAGGCTATATGAGTGACGAGATGTCTGCTTTACATACAAGTGGTACATGGGAGCTTGTTCCTCTTCCTTCAGGTAAATCTACCGTTGGCTGTCGTTGGGTTTATGCAGTCAAAGTTGGTCCCGATGGCCAGATTGATCGACTTAAGGCACGTCTTGTTGCCAAAGGATACACTCAAATATTTGGGCTAGATTACAGTGATACCTTCTCTCCAGTGGCTAAAGTGGCATCAGTTCGCCTTTTTCTATCCATGGCTGCAGTTCGTCATTGGCCCCTCTATNCAAACAATTGCTCAAGGAGTTGAAATTTGGTGAAATCAGTCGGATGGAACTTGTGTGCGATAATCAAGATGCACTTCATATTGCATCAAATCCGGTGTTTCATGAGAGAACTAAACACATTGAGATTGATTGTCACTTCGTCAGAGAAAAGATACTCTCAGGAGATATTACTACGAAGTTTGTGAGATCGAATGATCAACTTGCAGATATTTTCACCAAGTCACTCACTAGTCCTCGCATTGATTATATATGTAACAAGCTCGGTACATATGATTTATATGCTCCGGCTTGAGGGGGAGTGTTAGAGATAGCTATGTAATTGTCCCACATTGGAATAGGAGTAGTATCCCCTTTGTATAGAGCAGCTATAAATAGCACCTCTTGTATTGCATCACAAACAATATCAATGTATCATATTTTCTCCCGTGCCTTCTCACAGTCTTTGCATACAAATGCAAGGGGGAGTATATGGAAATGCATTAGCAGACTAAGGGAAGAATTCCTAGGTTACACTAAACTGGAAGTGGGGAATGGACAGAGAATTAAATTCTGGACAGATTGAAGGATAGGAGATGAGTGTCTGAAAGCTAAATATCCTAGTCTTTTCAATTACTCTGTTAACAAGGCTGGAAACATTGCTGATTTTTACTCAGATACAGGGTGGCAGGTAGTATTCAGAATTAATTTGGATGATTGGGAAGCTGAAGATTTCTGTCACTTGCACCAACAACTAGAAGTTGTTTTTATTGATCAAAGCAAGGTGGTTCATTGATCTGGGCTGCTGCTAGTGAAGGTAAATCTTTTTCAGTAAAAAGTTGTTACAAAATGATGATAGAGAAGTCAAGATATAGGGTTACTAATTGGCCTTGGAAAATGATTTGGAAGACCAGAGCACCAGTGAAGGTAGCATGCTTTGGATGGTCAGCAACGTGGGAGGTTTGTTTGACTCAAGACAACTTGCAGAAAAGAGGCTTCAGTCTATGTAATAGGTGTTATCGGTGTGAAGAAGAACAGGAAACAGTGAACCATCTTCTCCTCCTGAGTATCTAGACAGTGTTGGGATATATTCTTAAGCATTTGTGGCGTTTCTTGGGTGATGCCTCAAACTGTAAGGGGTTTACTAGAAAATTGGCAATCTCAGAAAATACCTTGAAGACTAAAGCAGATCTGGAGAACCATTCCATTGTGCATCATATGGACATTATGGCTAGAGAGGAACAAAGCTTGTTTTGAAGGGCATCGAAATCACATTATTAGAATTAAGAATAACAGTCTTCATAATCTGTATTATTGGTGTAAATGCATCCCCTTAGGAAATCTGGATCAGTACATAGAATTTCTGGACATGCTAGGAGGGATAGGATAGAAGGTGGATGATGTTGTTTGGGATGTTTTTTTATCCTTTTGTACCATCTTGATACCTTTTTAATAAACTTTTACCTTATCCAAAACAAATGACGTATCTTAAGTAATACGAGTTTATTCCCATAGAACTAGAGCAACGGTTATCATACAGATGTCGCACGTTTAATAAATCATACAAAGTAATTTGCTGCAAAATATTTTGCAGTTAGGCAGGAGTATATTAAAACTTGAATTTTAAAAACTTTTTTAAACTCATTACTATGGTTCATTCAAAACAGAACATCCCAAAATCGCTAGACTGACAGAAAGAATAGCAATAGACTAAAACATTACCTCCATCGGCTGATGTATTCTTCCATCAAAGTGAATAAATGCCTAAATCTGTCATTATATTTCAAGTCACAACTAAAATAAACCAAAAGGTCCAGCGACTATGATGTTATACTAACATGAAGAGCAGCATCCCATTGCCATGATACTTTGCAAAGATTAAGGTTGCTTTAATGTAGGCAATATCTGAGAAGAAGAATATGCCACAGTCATACACAACAGACACGCATAGAATTGGGAAGTATATCCTACAACATGATAAATACAAGCTCCGCACTTCAGACTAATGAACAGGAAAAAGGTCACCATATAGCATTCCCCAAAAATAGTTCATCCCTCCCCTGTAAGGGCTAACCATACCAGCAACATAACAAACCTGCACTATAACAGATTCCTGTGGTCACAAAAAGAAGATATACTTTGCAGTTCCTCAATCCAATGGCACTTAGCAGCTGAAGCAATATGGAAACATTCTTGTGCACAAAAAATGCAAATAAGGATCCAAAACAGAATTCTTTTTTTTTTGTCTCTTTTAAATGCATTACTATGGTTCAATCAAAACAGAACATTCCCAAAATCGCAAGACTGACAGAAAGAATAACTAAAACCATACCTCCATTGGCTGATGTATTCTGAATCCTGGTTTGAGTTATCAGGTAGTCTTCCATCAAAGTGAATAAATGCAGACTAAATCTGTCATTATATTTCAAGTCACAACTAAAAGAAACCAAAAGGTCCAGCGACTATGATGTTATACTAACATGAAGAGCAGCATCCCATTGCCATGATACTTTGCGGAGATTAAGGTTGCTTTAACGTTGGCAAAATACAACAACAACAACCACCCAGTATAATCCCACAAGTGGGGTCTGGGGAGGGTAGTGTGTACGCAGACCTTACCCCTACCCTAGGGTAGAGAGGCTGTTTCCAATAGACCCTCGGCACCCTTCCCTCGAAGAACTCCCTACCTGCTCTTGGGGTGACTCGAACTCACAACTTCTTGGTTGGAAGTGGAGGGTGCTTACCATCACAGCAACCCACCTTGTCAACGTTGGCAATATCTGAGAAGAATAATATGCTACAGTCATACGCAACAGACACGCATAGAATTGGGATGTACATTCTACAAAATGATAATAAGCTCAGCACTTTAGACTAATGAAATGCAGGAAAAAGGTCACCATATAGCATTCCCCAAAAATAGTTCATCCCTCCCCTGTAAGGGCTAACCATACCAGCACATAACAAACCTGAACTATAACTCATTCCTGCATCACACAAAGACCAATATAGTCACCATGCTATCAGTTACATATAATGATAGAAATTTGAACGTTTTACCAAAAAACACAAAAAACAGAGCACGCAAACATTAATTTACGCATTATTATAACTGGAGTAGAGGATGGGATGACTTGTAAAAAGTGATCTTATTTAAAAATCAAAATCTATGTACAAAAGACGCTGTTCCCTGACCTGTATTGCTAAACCAAATACAGTGTTTCTACATACTATGACTACGGTACTGGCTTGACCATTGTACAAAAAGATTTTTACAGTCAAAGTCATCAACTTATAGGTACAAAACCCTTCCTTCCTCTAAGGGTTCACTCAAAAATGTAGCGGTACACAGGTATCCCAAAGAATATGCAGCCCTACTTAAGGACTGCACAGTCACACAACCCACATGTAACTGGTGGTCGTATCTGGACAACAAGGTTTCTCCAGTGAATGGTAATGAACAGGAATATACAGCGAAAGAAGCTTCAAACCATCATATTCAAGTCTGACAGATCATCCATGGGAATCTCAAGGCCCATGAAGTCGTCATCTTGTAATCCATCATCATCGATGTTCAACCATGAGCCTATGTCCTGTCCCTGACCACCAAGATCGTCAGGGACACCTAAAACATCCATTTCTGGGAGTTGCAGGCCGGATAAGTCAATGGGATCCTCTAGTTCATCCAAGTTACTGTCAGTCTTATCATTGCCAGTGGCACTTATACCACTTGATCTTGCTATTGAAGATCCTAGCAATTTAGGTTGCTCCGATATCTTGCCAAAAAAGCCATTGACAGAGGTGGATAACTGAGTAGTTTTCTGCTTAGGTTTTGTCTTAGGCTTTCTTTCTCCTTTAACATTGGAAGAGGCAGGTCGACCAATTTTGGTAGTTCCATTGCGGGATAATGCCTCTCGGCCATTTCCTTTTCCTTCTCGGTCTCTCTCACTTCTCTTCCCTTTTGCACTGCTTAAAAGTGAACTACCTATGCCTGAAGAAGCACCAATTGTAGTACCAAGAACATCTTCCAACTCCCTCCGCTTGACCCTACTGGCTTCAGAAGGTAAATTGGCTTCAAAAGATATATCCTGGTTTAGCGATGGGCTCTGCTGTGCGCCCAAAGCTGCAGAAGAGATATAATAAAAATTTAAGCGAGTGTTATACTCAATTAAACATGCCATGCTTCATAATTCTACACTTGCTCCCCACATTCACGTAGATAGAAGAGGAAAAAAAAGAATACCTGAAACTCTAGCTTCTCCTGAACAGCCAGATGTGCTGATATAAGATTTTCCAGCTTCGCCATCAGTGTTCGAATCTGTTTGTCCGTCACTAAGGCGGGATATCCCAGAAAGAAACATATCCTTATACAAAGGCTCACTGAAGCAGCTCTTTCTTGTCTGCTCAAATTCTTGGCATCGATCCAAAGTCCGCTTGACAAAAGCTAAGGCAGCTTGCTTGGCCATTTTCCCGCTAGCACTCTTCATCCCATGAGCATTTGGACCCCAACAACTCTGTCGAGGCAAAATCAATTCACAACAACTTCAAGATTCAAATTACAAGATTTAAGAAGACAATTTCATGTTTCACACAGTTCTGAAGTGCATTACAGCAATATAAACAATAATAGATATTTCTATGATACTACTAGCGGCAAAGTTAGTTGATGTATACATAACTATTTGAAGAACAAGAAAGAAGGAAATACAAAGTATACACAGAAAGGCAATGAAAACTGTGGTGGGTTCTTCTTACACAAAGACACAGACCAAGTACATCAGCAGAATGTCAACTTGTGTCACAATAATAATACATGTGGAGCACAGGAAGTAACATACAAGAATTAAAACTATAACTTAAACTTCCTGTTTTGGGTTTGGGGATCAAAACAGATGAACAACATGGCATCAGTTTTTGTTTAAACAGAATTTAAAAAGTAAAGAGGCAAGTTTAATAGAAGTCCTGCATGAACAATAAGGAACAAAATTTACTTCTAGAGCAAAGTAAAAATTTGCAACTGATACAAGTTGTATAAATAAATTACTGAACCAACCATTACTTAGCTTCAAGCTCCTTTACCCGGAAAACAAGAAAAAGAAAAAAAAATCCACCAAATAGAAAATGTATCTTGGTCATATCAATTTGACCATATTCACATGAAGAAGTCTTGATTCATCATTCAGTAATACGAAACAGAAGTTCTCGCCATAAACATAACGCATTATCTCTGAGAAATCCGGTCCCTCGAGTAGAGAAGCAGTTAACTACAATTGATCCCTTTTTTCCAGGGATGTAAATCTAAATTTAAGAACAGAAAGTGCTTAAAAGCTTCAAATTACCATATATTTTTCGTATGCCATTGCAACCAGTTTATCAAGAGCACGCTGTTCAAACTCCCTGTATGATAAATAATTTTAGTTGTTACCAAAATGAATAGTACTACGCAAAGACAAAGGTTAGGCATCTGAAAGAAGCATAAATTTATGTACTTCTCTTGTAACTCTCTCATCTGTGTAGCTGAATCCAGCAGTTTCCCAAGCATCCTCTTCTTCTTAGAAACCTACAGAATAGGCAATCCATGAGTAAGGCTCCCAATACAGAAACCAATTGCTTGGAAGTTTCAGAACAATAAAGGAGACTAATAGCCCGTTTGGCCAAGCTGCAAAAATCAGCTTATTTTGAGAAGTGCTTTTTTTCAAAAGTGCTTTTCTCAAAAGTACTTTTGGTGATAAGCAGTTTATGTTTGGCTAATTAGTTTGAAAAGCACTTCTGAGCAGCAATTAGTGTATGGCCAAGCTTTAAAAAACTGCTTCTAAGTGTATTTTTCTCAAAAGTGCTTCTCAAAAAAGTGTTTTTGGAGAGAAGCTACTTTTTTCTGCTTCTCCAAAACTGCTTCTGCTTCTCCTCAAAAGCACTTTTTTTCCTTCCAAAAGCTTGGCCAAACACCTCAATTTTTGGCCAAAAGTGCTTTTGGCAAAAAAAAAAAACACTTTTGGCCAAAAAGAAGAAAGGTCAAACAGGCTATAAGCCCCTATTTGTCTTTATTAAGATTATGTTTGATTCTGAACACGTCTTATTATTAGGATGTTGTCTCTAGATCAGTATTTGAATGGGCAAATATCTTTTCTAAAGACTAGTAAATCTAAAATCTAAATAAAGTAATAATTAAATATTACATCCATAAGATATTGGAGAATTTTAATTTACAAGGTGTTGCAAAAACTGTTTGTTTAATGGAGCACACTCTACCAGCGAGTGCCAGTGGCAACTAGTGGTGGTTGTGCGTTCGTGGCTAGAGGTGGTGGTTGTGCGTTCGTGGCTAGAGGTGATGGTTGTGCGGTGGTAACTGGGGTAGAGGTAGTTGGTGGTGGTAGCGCGGTTGAGGTTGGTGGTGTTCGCGATGGTGGTCGGCCCCAGCAGTCAGTGGAGGGGTTGGTTGGTGGTGTGGCTGGTTGTTGGTGGTGTTGGTTAGTGGTGGAGCCGTGGAGGTGATGGTGGATGACGGCGAAGGTGGTGTTCGCGATGGTGGTGGCGCGGTTGAGGTTGGTGGTGAGGTGGTC